TTTTTAAGATTTTATTTATTAATTCATGAGAGAGAGAGGCAGAGACGCAGGCTGAGGGAGAAGCAGGCTTCATGCAGGGAGCCCGATGTGGGACTCGATCCTGGGGCTCCAGGATTACACCCTGGGCTGAAGGCGGCACTAAACCGCTGAGCCACCTGGGCTGCCCTGGAAGAGAATCTTTAATCTTAGGCTGCTTGTAGGATTATGGGTTTTTCTTTGGATTATGGTGCATGTGCTGTGGTGGCCCTGCATGTTCTGTTCTCCTGGAGCCTACCAGAGGTGAAGCCTCTTGGATCTGTGACCTGGGGTCTTTTGTCATATTCTTCCAGTGTTACACCTGCCCATTGTCCTCAACCCAGGGCCCAGATTGAGGAATGTTAGGCCTTCTTGCTCCAGACCTTCCCTCACATGTTTATTGTTCTGTGCTTTGTGCTAGGCAGTCCTTTCTATGTATTGATACTCTTTGATTATATATAACATGTTAAATTAATCCGTTCAGTTCTTTTTTTTTTTTTTTTTCATTTATGATAGTCACAGAGAGAGAGAGAGAGAGAGAGGCAGAGACATAGGCAGAGGGAGAAGCAGGCTCCATGCACCGGGAGCCTGATGTGGGACTTGATCCCGGGTCTCCAGGATTGCGCCCTGGGCCAAAGGCAGGTGCCAAATCACTGTGCCACCCAGGGATCCCAATCCGTTCAGTTCTTTACTGGGGTTATTACAGTTTTTGGTTTTAGAATTTCTGCTTTTTAAAATAATTTCTCATTTTTTTGGTCAACATTCTGTCTTGAATTTCTCCAAATATTTTGATCACAGCCCTCTTAAACTCTGTCTGAAGATTGTAGGAGCCCTGAATCTACTTCTCTAGATAGTTGTTTCTCTTGTTTTACATGGTCTTGTCTTATTTCTTGTGTCTGGCTGCTTTTGGTTGAGAACTGGGCATTATGTGTGAGAAACAGGAAATGATAAGGCTTGGAACCATGTTTTCCTCTTCTGCCCTCTGCCTTCCTGGTGTCTACCTTCCTGGTCCCTCTGCCATCCTCTTCAACTGACCACATACCAGCATAGCTGGCAGACTTTTGACTTGAGCCCTCTCCTCTGTAGGTGGACGATGAACTTGAAATCAAAGCCTACTATGCGGGCCACGTGCTGGGGGCAGCCATGTTCCAGATTAAAGTGGGCTCAGAGTCTGTGGTCTACACGGTCAGTGGAAGCATTTGGGGCACAAGGGGTGCTGCTTGGCCAGGGGGAGGAGGCACCCACTTTACTGCCACATTCTTTGCCAGGGTGATTATAATATGACCCCAGACCGGCATTTGGGGTGAGTAGACAGGTTTGTTTCCTCCTGTGGAGACCCCCCCGCCAAAGTGTGCAGTGATGCTTGTGGATGTGCTTGGTGCCTGGGCTGTCTGTGCATTGGTTTCTGCCATGTGTCCCCTATGCATGGCAAAGGCTCTTCCTCCTGTCTCCCCTCAAGTGTGCTGCTTTGCCAAAGGGTCCAGGGAGGCTGTGGCTGGGGTCTGTTTTGCTGCTTCTCGCTTTGCAGCCATGTGGGTTGTCCACCTCTGGCCATACCCTCCTCTGTTACAGAGCCGCCTGGATTGACAAATGTCGCCCCAACCTACTCATCACAGAATCTACATATGCCACCACCATCCGGGATTCCAAACGCTGCCGGGAGCGAGACTTTCTGAAGAAGGTCCACGAGGCTGTGGAGCGTGGCGGGAAGGTAGCTGGTGCTGGCAGGGTGTCAGGCAGGGCTCTGGGCCATGTGCCTGCCCTGACCATGCTACACAGTCCTTCAGCCACCCCTGGCATGTCAGGAGATGGGTGCTGTGTGTTCTGGGCATGCAGGGAGGAAAGTTTGCTCAGCATTAGTAAGAAACACTCCTCTGGACTAGTGGAGTGCTTATTCAGGCCTCATGTCAGATCCCAGCATAAGGCTGGCCAGAGTATCCACCATGGTCATTTCTGGAAAGATTGTGGCTGGGAGCAGGACTTAAGGGCAGAATGTGTGGGCCTTACCTATGGCCCATATAGGGCCTCTGGCCATCAACTACCAGCAGGGCTAGTCTTTATAGCAGCTGCTCCCTGAGCAGGCAGCCATAGGGAACATGCGTCTGCTCACTGTGATCAGATGTGGGTTCAGCTTGGTTGGGGCTCCTGCATGAGCCAGCCTCGTCCTCCCTCTTTAGGTGCTGATCCCTGTGTTTGCCCTGGGCCGCGCTCAGGAGCTCTGCATCCTGCTGGAGACCTTCTGGTAGGTGGAGCCAGATTGTTTTCGGGGACCTCTGCCCTGAGTGGGCATTAGCCATAGGCAGGGTGTACAGAGCTTAGGCTGTAGTGCTGGCAGCTATTAGGTAGAGTCAGGGTGCCTGACATCTGCAGGGGTGCCTTCCCAAGCCAGGAGGCTTGTGGTATCATGTTGTCCCACACCAGGCCCCCCCTAACCACATGCTCTGTGTTCCCATCATCTGACCCACTGTAGGGTGAGGTGGGGGCATCAGGGAGTCATTCCTTCCACTGGGCACAACCCAGGTTGGTGGTGTGGGGGTGACGGGCCCGTCATTCCATGGCAGCCTCCTCTACTGTGGCCCTGCACTGCCCACAGGGAACGCATGAACCTGAAGGCCCCCATTTACTTCTCCACGGGCCTGACAGAGAAGGCCAACCACTACTATAAGCTCTTCATAACCTGGACCAACCAGAAGATCCGTAAGACCTTCGTCCAGAGGAACATGTTTGAGTTTAAGCACATCAAGGCCTTTGACCGAGCATTTGCTGACAATCCAGGTCCCATGGTGAGGCTCTGGCCAGGAGGGCTGGGGGATGGCTCTCCTGCATCTCTTGTAACATAGTCACACCTGCCTCAGGCTTGGACACCTGGGTCAATGCTGGCTGTCCACACATAATGCACTTCCTCTGTGCCTGGGACGTGCAAGGGATCCCTGCGTATAGGTCTCCCTTAGGGAATGGGGTGCACTGTGCTGGGGGATGGACGGAAGTCAGGGTAGGGCCTGTGACCAGTACTGGTTCTATGACAGGCGGGCACTGCTGCCCTGATTGTCGCACACACCCCCGCAGGTCGTGTTTGCCACCCCAGGCATGTTGCACGCTGGCCAGTCCCTGCAGATCTTTCGGAAGTGGGCAGGGAACGAGAAGAACATGGTAAGAGGTCTGGCTCCCAGGATCAGATGTGGGCCTGTAGGGGAAGGGGTTAGTGAGGACAGGAGCTCTGCTTGGTTAGCAGACACCACTGTTGTCAGGAACAGGGCTCAGTATCCTGGGGCCATGTCTCACCCAGGCCGACTCCTGCTGTGTTGGCCTATTTGCATCAGGCAGTAAAGCCTCTGGCCATCTGAGCTGATGGGTACTCAGGCCCGGGTGGGCTTGGGTCTGCAGTGGGGCCTGCGATAGGGAGCTGCTGGCACAGGAAAGGCGCCATTAAGGGTACAGGTTCTGCCAGGCAGGGAGGACCCCCCTGAGGTGTGAGTGGGGGTGGCTGGCAGCTCCATTTCTCCCTCCCCATAGGTCATCATGCCTGGCTACTGCGTGCAGGGCACTGTGGGCCATAAGATCCTCAGTGGGCAGCGCAAACTGGAGATGGAGGGGCGGCAGGTGGTAAGTCCCTACTTGGGTTGGTGGGGAGCCCTCAGCCTGCTGCTCGTGGTTAACGGCCTATGTGCACTGTGACGCTGCAGTTGGAGGTCAAGATGCAGGTGGAGTACATGTCCTTCAGTGCCCATGCTGATGCCAAGGGCATCATGCAGCTGGTGGGCCAGGCGGAGCCCGAGAGTGTGCTGCTCGTACATGGGGAAGCCAAGAAGATGGAGTTCCTGAAGCAGAAGATTGAGCAGGAATTCCGTAGGCAGCCCAGGCATGGGGGGTGGGATTGGGCTGATACAGGGAATGTGGGCAGGGTCTACCCGTGGGTTCAGTGTGGGCAGGGCCAGGTGGTCTGGACTGAGGCTCTCTGCCCCTCTCTCTTGCCCAGGGGTCAACTGCTACATGCCAGCCAATGGTGAGACAGTGACGCTGCCCACAAGCCCCAGCATCCCTGTGGGCATCTCACTGGGGCTGCTGAAGCGGGAGATGGCACAGGGTATGCAAGGGAGGGCAGTGGGCAGGGGCAGGGCAGCAGCACAGCAGGTGGACAGTGCTCATCCCTGTCCCTTTCTCTGCAGGATTGCTTCCTGATGCCAAAAAGCCACGGCTCCTACATGGCACTCTGATCATGAAGGACAGTGTGAGTAGGTGTGTGCCTGGGTGGGGGTACAGGGTGCCCCTATGCCCCCTGACCTGCCCCTGCCCCACAGAACTTCCGGCTCGTGTCCTCAGAGCAGGCGCTCAAGGAACTGGGCCTGGCTGAGCATCAGCTGCGCTTTACCTGCCGTGTGCACCTACATGACCCTCGTAAGGAGCAGGAGACGGCCATGCGTGTCTATAGCCATCTGAAGAGGTGGGTACTGCACTCCTGGCCCTAGGGGTGGCAGGCAGAGGGCACAATGTGGGGTCTCACTGCACCTCCCCACAGTGTCCTCAAGGACCACTGTGTGCAGCATCTTCCCGATGGGTCTGTGACGGTGGAGTCCATCCTCATCCAGGCTGCTGCCCACTCAGAGGACCCAGGCACCAAGGTGCTGCTGGTCTCCTGGACCTACCAGGTAAGTGGCAGGTCAGGGTGGGTGGGGACTGCCCAGGTGTGCTGCTTGGGGAGAACAAGATGATCGCCTTCTCTTGTCTCTGGCTCCAGGACGAAGAGCTGGGAAGTTACCTCACGTCGCTGCTCAAGAAGGGCCTACCCCAGGCCAGCAGCTAAGGTCAGCTGGTCACCATAGGGACCCGGGTTTCCCCTCCAGGGCCACGTCTGCCTCAGCCCTCATTCTGTGTCCCTGGATGGGGAACCCACGGCTGGTCACAGCCTTGTCTTTGAGGACAAGACCACAAGTGTCACTGCCTGCCCAACTGGCTGGTTTTGGCTGAGGAAAGAAATAACTCTGGGGACCTCATGACCTTTTATTTCTGTTCCTGAGCCCGAGATGGGTGGCTGCACCTGAGGTACTAATTTTCAGTAAAAACAGAACCAAAGGCGGCGTGGATATTCCCTTCTTGATGCTCAAACCTTTTTCCTTCAGTCCACCCATAGCAGGTGCCCAGGCAGGTGGGGGCTTTGGGCAGGTGCAGGCCAGTGGGGGGCAGGAGGCCCACATGCCTGCAGAGCTGGGCAGGGTCCAGTGGCTGGGCTGTGTTGGCTGCCCTGACCTCACTGGGGCTTCTGGGGGGGGGTTCTCTGTGGCTTCCATGTGGTAAACCCTGTAGGGCACAGAAGGTTTTCTGCAGAGGCTGGGCCTGGCTGTAGATGCGGAGTTTCCTCCAGGCTGCAGAGCCCCTGCCTCTCCAGGCCCCCCTACTCCCTGAAAAGAGCCCCTGCCTCTCCAACCCTCCCCTACTAAGAACTTGATCCCAGGCCCAGGTCAGGAGTATAGCTTGGGTGTGGGGCCCCAGGAAAAAAGGTACCTTACTCCAAGTCTCCTGCTTGTGGGCTGCTGGTCTCCAACTGGATTTTTTGGCTAACCTGGGGTTTCCCTGCCTCCAGGGCCCTGACTTTCCTGCTGAACACAGGCTGGATTCCCACCTGGCAGCAGGACAGATAAGGGCTATAGCTGTCCTGTCACCAAGAGCTCCTCCCCTGTCAAGCACCCAGGCTCAGGAGGGAGGGGGGTCAGTCAGTAGGTGTACTTGGCATCTCTGCAGGCAGTCCACTCTTACCAAGGTTCTCGTAGAGCACTGACTTGAGGAATAAGCCATGGGCTGGGGCCACACGCGTCTGGTGCCTACCCAGGGGGTCTCGGCTTTCCAGGATCACCTTCACCTGAGCAGGCCTCAAGGCCCCTAGCCCCACAGCCACCAGCACAGCTGTCATCCTCCGCACCTGCAACCCAAGGCCAAGACTGCCATTGGGCCCAGCCCTCAGGGCACCCCCACTCCCACCCCCACCCCTGTCCAGGTGGCTCAGGGGAGAGCCCACCTGTCTGTATAGGAAGGACCGGCTCTCGAACTCCAGGTTCCAGAAATGCAACCTAGAAACACGAGCACATGTGGTGTTTGGGCCAGGGCAGCTCTGAGTCCATGCCACAGCCTGTGGGGGGTGGGGGGAGGCTGGGGAAGACTGGTTCCCCCTGTCTTCTAACGCAGCAGTTCCCACTGGCCATTCTACCCTCAAGTGAAGCTGGTGGGAGGGACGCCGGGAGAGGGAGGGGCAGCAGAGCCTTCTGAGGGCCCTGGCAGTGGGGACAGGGCCCTCAGGTGGAGGTGATGCTGAGGTGGAGGTCTGGAGGCAGGGCTCTGGGGCAGTGGAGGCTTCGAGCACAGCCAGCTCATCTACCAGACACCCAAGCCCCAGGCCAGGGATCTTCAGCTGACCGTGCAGAAGCCCCCCCACTCCAGTGCTGGCTCAAACTGGTAAGTTTTGTAAGTCAACAGCTGAGGTCGGGCCAGAGGCCCCAGGGACCAGAGAAGCAACCCCCTGCCAGGTAGGGCCAGAACCACTGGCCTGGTGCTTCTTTTTCAGCAAAGCCTTTTCAGCAGCTGCCAGGGTCCATTTACTAGCCAATGAGCGCTGCATGAGGCAGGGCAGGGAGACCTTGGAGAAAGCATTTTCTGTTTTTTGCCCCCAGTATGGCAGGAACCCAGGTGGGGTGGGGGAGTGGGGCAGCTTGCAGGTTCATGGCTGTCGGGGCCATGCCACTCAACTGACTAGCTAATCTCCCCAGGAGGGCTGATGGGGCCCAGAGGGGTGCACTACCCCTGCCAGGGAAGCTGCTAAGTCGAGCTCCCCCAGCCTCTGGCGTGTGTGCAGGGTGCCCTTCCTTACCTCTTCTCCTGGGCAAGGACAAAGGGGCTGCCTGGGTCAGGGGACACTGAGGCTCGGCGCAGTGTGCGCACTGAGCTAGTGGTCGGGCTGCCAGCTGACTGGAAGGCTCTGAAGTCATGTGTCCCCAGGAGGTGCTGGGCAGCCTCCTGCATGGCATCCACATCCAAGCAGCTGTGGGGAGTCAGATGAGTGGTCAGGAGGGAGTAGCCAGCCATGTGGGCCTGGCAACCCCCTCTGGTTCACGCACACCCCACACTCACTCTGCCCTCAGTGGCCAGCATCGGTTTCGTTCAAACACAGACAGCTGGTCAGGCCGGTGGCAGCCTGTGACCAGGCGGTACAGGTAGGTCCTGGATGTGGCTGCATGGCGGGCATGGAAGTCACTGGGTACTCTGAAAGCTTGCAGTACACTGTGGGAGCAAGATTAGGTACTCCACAGAGATCCCACAAAGTTCTGTCCTGACCCAAGAGATTCCGGACTTAGGGCCTCCACCCAACCTGGACCAGTCTGGAGACAGCAGACGGGTGCTCACCGGATGGCCGGGTGCCTCACGTGGGCGTTGAGTGCCTCTGCCAGGACTTCGGGGGAGAAAGGAGGCTGGCCTGAGCGGCGCTGGACGTCCAGATGGGCCGCGTTGCTCAGCGCGTGAACCCCCGCATCTGTGCGGCTGGAGATCGTGAACCTGACAGGCACCACCGAATTCAGCCGCTTTGCAGCCTCCTGCGGGGACAGAGCTCCCTGGGGTGAAGGCCGCAGCCCCAGGGCGCGGGGGCTCCCACCTGTCCCTGCCCCGGGTCTCTCCCTCTCCACTGCGGGCGGCGGGCAGGCAGAGCTCACCTCCAGGTAGTTGAGGACGCCGATGGCGCGCTGGGAGCCCCTGACGGCCGCGACCCCACTGCAGGAGAAGGCGGGCGCAGGTGAGCAGGGGGAGGCCGCCCTCCCTCGGGTCCTCCCGGCGTCGGGCCCTAAATCTGGCCCCCACCCCCCACCTCGGGGCCGCGGGGAGGACCGGAGCCGTACTTAAAGTCCGTGCCCAAGTACTGAAAGTACACGAGGTAGCGCGCGGTCACTGAGCCTGAGGCCGGGCCCATGGCGGGAGCGCGGAGAGGCTCCGGGTCCGCGGGACCGGGCGAAGGCTGGGGGTGGGCAGGCACCCCAAACTCAGCAGAACCACACGTGTGCCCGGAGCGCCTGCGCGCCCAGAAAAGCAGCGTGGCCACGCCCCCGCTCCTGCGCCTGCGCCGTAGCGTTCCTCCCGCCTCCGCAGTCCAGCACTCAGCCGCCCCACGACGGCTGAGGGCGGGAGCGGGGGGCGGGGCCAGACTTAAGGGAGCGGGTGCAAACTGCGGAGCCGTTGGCGAGCGAGTGGGCCGGATCCCGCCAGCGGCGCCCGGGAGGCGCTCCCGTGGGCTTTCACACTTCCGTCCACCCTCGCTCCTGTTCCCCCGCGCCCGCCGGCCTGGAGCGGCTCCGTCCCCACGATCCGCGCCGGCGGTTCTTGCAAACGCCCCGAGTTGCTCAGCGGTCGCATTGCTGGAGCAAGCAGTCCCGCGCCCTTCCAGCGCCCCGGGTTCAGCCGACTGTGTCTGGGTCCGACTCCGTCGCGGCCCGTAGTGGCCTGGGAGCGAGGGGGCGGACGACGGGGCGTCGGGCCAGAGCCAGGCGTGGCCGCGGCCCGAGACGCAGGAAGAGGCGTATGGCGACTCTCCCCGGCCGTGACAGCGGGAGGCGCGCGCGGGCGGCGGACTTTGGCGACGCTCCCCGGCCGTGACAGCCGGCGGCGCGCGCGGGCGGCAGACTTTGGCGACATTCCCCGGCTGTGACAGGCGGGGCGGGGCGGCGGCGCGGCGGCCTCAATCCAGGGCGGGCGGGCGCCGAGCGCGGCGCAGGCGGGCCGGCGGACGGACGAGCGGGGCGGCCGGGGATGCCGCTCGGAGCGCCGCGGTCCTCGTGCCAGTGAGCGCCGCCGCCGCCGCAGCCATGACGGTGGAGTTCGAAGAGTGCATCAAGGACTCGCCGCGCTTCAGGTGCGCCCCCGGAGGCGGCGCGGCCCTTTGTGGTCGGCGGGGGTCGCCGCCCCCTCGGGGCACCCCGGGCCGCCGTGGGTGGGCGCCAGTTGGGGGGTGTCGTTGCTGACTTTTTGCGGGGCCGGGGGGGCCGCTGGCGGGAGCTGGAGGACCCTGCCTCGCACAAAGCCCGCAGCCCGGGCCCGAAGGCCTGGAACAAAAGATGCCCCTTGTGCTGGTCACCTCGCGCAGGGGTTTGCGGGGGTGGGGTGGGGGGTGGGGAGGCTGTCAGGAGAGCCACCTTTCCGTGGGAGTGTCCACCCCCGCTTTGTGCCTGCACCTCCGTGCTGGGTGCCTGAACGGGACTGAGACCCTCCCGGCCCTGCCGTCCAACTCTGGCCAGGGCTGTCTGTGTGGAGGGGGTGCCTGCCGGTCAGGCAGCAGGGAGCCACGCGCTCAGGGGTGACCTCGCAGCTTGGAGGGGCAGGGGCTAGGCTGGGTAGGCTGGGTGGGAGTTCCGGCTGGGGGTTCTGCACATGCTTGTCTTTTTAGTCCTTCCTGGAAGACAGGCTCATCTGCTCGCACCTCGGGGCACCCTCTGTGCATCAGGTGTAGATGCTTATGTCGCGGACATATGGGTGAGCTCTGCTCCCCTGGACTCTCCCCAGAGGCTCCTGACCCTGGACATGAGCGTGGGTGGGTGGGCTGCACCCTTGGGCGGCATGCTGATGTGTGCATGTACCTGTGTGTGTGTCACTCTGTAATGCTTCTCGTGGATGCATACTTGTACTGAATGTTTATCATGCACACATGAGCTTTGGCACAAGATACACATACTAATTTGTTCATGTGTGTTCTGGCATCAGGCATACATATCTGTACTCCTGTGTATGTCACATCCATGAGCACACGTGTCTATGTGTACACTGTGTCACAGTGTGTGTGTACATTTGCTTGCACATGAGCATTTCTACCATGCTTCTGTGCACACGTGTGCTTGGTCATGTGTGTGTGTGCCTGCTGAATTCTGGGTGTGCCAGCAAGAGGACCTGTGTGTGGATGTGCTGGTGAACCTTCGGATTGCTACTCTTACTCTCGGGCCCCTTGCACAATCATCACGCAGGGGAGCCAGCAGCAAAGGCTTGGGGAGGCTAGGGATGAGGGGTGGGGGGTTGGCCCAGGAAGGGCCCCGGGGCAGAAGGTCTGGGGGTGATCCTCTGCATTCTCCCATTTTCTGTTGATGATTGATTGAGGGAGGGGGCATGAGCAATTCTGGCACCCACAATCCTACTTCCCTACCACCGCCCACTGTCCTTTAGAACCCAGGCTACGGGGGAGGATATAGCTGGGGCCTCAGCTGGGGCCTCAGTCCTGATTGAAGCCCCCACACCTCACCCTAGCCCCTTGCTCAGAGCCTTATGGTCCTTCTTCCCCTGAGTGGAGAGGTGCAGACCCATTTTGCCTGGGCAAATTGGGGTCATTGACACCTCATTCACCTCCAGGCCTTCCCTCCCATACTAGGCTGGTCTGTCCATAGCCCACAGTGGGTACAGTGGTTGCCTGGGTTTTGCTGTGCTTCCTCTGGCTGGGAGAGGCTGCCCCAGGAAGGTGCCCAGCTAGGCCTGGGATGAAGACTGAGGAAATTCATCTGAACCTTGGGCCACAGAAGCCACATTGTGGATTTCAGGGTTGGACTGAGATTTAACAGGGGTTTGAGGTTCTCCTGGGTTCCCACTATTTCTGCACCCTCAGGTGGCACTGAAATGTAACCTGGGACTTCCTGGTGGCAGGCCTGGGGTCAGCCACAGTAAGGCTGGGTGGGAGGCTGTAGTCAGTGACAAGAGGCCAGGTGGCCCCAGCCCTGGAAATAGGGACCATGCCCCCATGCTCTTGGCCTGGGGAGAGCCCCACAACCTTGGGATGCATGTGGGAGAGTCCAGACTCTTCCAGACAGGCCTGGAGGTGCTGCCCCCTCCCCTGGGTGGGGCTTCAGGCGCTGAGTCATGGCTTTGGTGGGGAAGCCTGCCTCACCCTCCTCCTTGTCATCCAAGCTACTGAAGAAATCCTGGAGGGAGGACAGGAGAGGAGGCCTTAGGTCCTTGAGGGCAGGGGCTGGGAGATGGGCACAGAGCCCCCAGGGCAGGGTGCTGGTTCTCTGCTCTCTGCAGAGCACCTACCTTGCCCCAATGAGCACATTCATCAGCATCTAGTTGGCCCCACCCTTGCGGGGCAGGGTGAGGGGCCCCTCCTTGCCCAGGAGCAGCATCTACCCCTGGGTGGGTGGTCAGTCCCTTCTCTGGAACTCAGAGATCCCCATGGTCAAGAGAGGAGCCCAGGACCAGTCAGGGAGGGGGGTGGGAACTTCAACGTCCCTGGCTGGGGCATCCTGGTGCCCTCCTGACAGATCTAGATTGGGGGCACACAGAACTACACCCCATATGAAAGACTAGGTCCCTGAGCCAAGGCCTGGGAAACCCTGGAACACAGTCCCCACTTCCCCCAACCCCCACCAGCCATGGGGGCAGCAAGGGTCCACTGGGCATGGATGGCCTTCCCTCTGTCCGACCTCCACCTAAGACCTGTCCCTGGAGCCTTGCCAGTCCCTCAGATCCCCGCTGTCACCCCTGGCCCTCATTCCCTGCTGTCATCCACCCCCAGGAGGCAGATGGGTCCAGTTCACCAGCTGAACGGGTTGGGGGGGTGGCGCTGGGATCCTGGCCCTCTTTCCCTGTTTCCTGTTCCCAGAACCCCGGAGGGGGGTCACGTGCCTGATCCATCTGCCTCTCGCCTTCCGGGGATTCTCCGTGTGTGTGTGTGTGTGTGTGTGTGTGTGTGTGTGTGTGTGTGTGTGTGTGGTTTCTCTGGTGATGTCATTCCTTAACTCTTGCCTCCCTGAGGCCGCACCATTGTCAGGCTGTTCCGGTGGGAGTGGGCTCCTCTGAGGCTTGCCCCACTGCTCCCTTTGAGCAAACTGTGCTGTTTGTCATGGTGAGGTTGGAGGACTCAGGGCCCCCCCTCCACAGTTAGTCTGGGCTCTCGTGATGCTGCCAGAACCAGAGGAAGCAGCTGGCCTATGGTTTTGGGTCCTGAGACTGGTCTGCTCCCGGGTCCCCAGGCCCAAGGTGGGGTCTGGGGTCAACTGAGCCCCAAGAAGTGCAGTGGGTGGGCCAGGAGAATGGCTGCAGCCTCTCCCTCTGTCCTCAGGGGCTCGTCTGACCTTCTTTCTCTGGGGCCAGAGCAGCCAGACCCCAGGTAGGGCCATCATGGCTGACAGGGGTGGTGGGGTGGAGGCTGGGTGGCTCTGGAGTCAGGTGGACCTGGGTCCCAGTCCGTCACCCTCTGCCCAGGGGGGCATCTGCCTTTGCCAGCCTCCATTTCCTGCATATCTGAGGCACCCTGGACAGCAGGAGGGGTGACAGGAGCAGGTGGCCATAAGCTCTGTGATCCTTTCCCACTGCACATCCTCATGGGGAGGCATGGAGGACAAGGAAACCCCAGCCTGACCCCTGGCCCTGCAGGGCTCAGCAGCTTGCTGTGAGTTGGTCTGCAAACACCTTCGCTCTTGTTGCAGGGCTACTATTGATGAGGTGGAAACCGACGTGGTGGAGATTGAGGCAAAACTAGACAAGGTGAAGGGGGGTCTGGGGTGTGGCAGGGTGGGGTGGGGTGCATGGGGTCCAATGCTGCTGCTCTGTCCCAAGGCCTGGCCCCGACTGGCTCACGGGCCGGCATGCTTGTGTGCGAGCATGTGTGTGCGAGTGAATATGTGTGTGCGAGTGTGTAAGCATGTGTGTACGTGTGAGTGTGCGTGCAGGGCATGCCTCCTCCACCCCCCCCACCCCCCCGTGTGTGGTGTACAGGGTCTGGGTCAGTCCCCCCTTCTCCCTGGCTGTAGCCTATCGTAACTGTCCCAGGGTGCACATGCTGCTTGCACATGTGTGTCTCCCATGAAGTGGGGGTAGGCCTTTGTGAGTCCCCTCCCACCCTCTGTAGGGCAAGGAGGGTGCAAAGGGTGCTTTTGGGTGACTGGGGTAGGGGCCCAGGGGAAGGAGTGGGGTAGGAGGAGAGGGAGAGGGAGGGGTGGCATCCCTGAGGCCTTCACTGGCTGGTCCTGCCAGCCCCTGGCCAAGACCACATGCCCACTTCCTCCCTATGTTCCCCTGCTCTGGGCTTCTGCTCTGGAGCCAAGACCCTCACGGCCCCTGGCTGTCCATATAGCTCCTGGTGGGTGAGAGAGAGGGCTGGCTCTGCGGGGACAGCTGTGTCC